ATTGGAGCCTATTCGCCCTAAAAAGAACCCTACTAGCGTAGTTCTACACTTAGAGTTTCGATTTTACCTTAGTCCGACGAAGTCCCTTCAACTTCTGGTGGCTTTGCTTTCCCGACGAGGCTTCTATGCGTCCCGACGACCTTCGATGAAACAAAGCTTTAAGTTTTGATTTTTCTATTTTTTATTTCAAATGTTGTTGCTTTTTACTTTGGCTTGGGTTTTCATATATTGGTCGTGTATTGCATTGTTTCTTGGTTGCTTGATGCTAGATTTTCCTTGTGTTTTTTGTGGTGCCTCACCGGAGGCTTTTATAGCACACAAAAAGGGTGAATCAGGTCACCGAAATCCCGATTTTACTGGGATCTTACTTGTGCGTTCGTATTCCCGTTGAACTCATCGTCATATTCATGAGAAAATCGGGGGAAATATTCTGATTTGGTCATCAGAAAATTGCCCTGTTATTATTGGTTTGGCGAGTTATAGCGCGTGCTATCGGCACGTGGTCTTCACGCGCCATTCGAGCCCCCGTGCGACACCTTTACTAGATGTTGGAAACCTAGTTGACTTGGGTTGGGTCAGGCCCTCTCCTCCTAACCATGTTTGCTTTGTCGAGTCAGACTGGCATGGATCAGTTGAGCTCCATTTTTAAACCCAATTGTTGGACCTAAAAAAGTAAAAACATTATTAAAATAAATAAATAATATAATATATACTATACAATACAATATATTAATATAATATAATATATATGGAATACATTTTGTATATATATACAATATATCACATGTATATAATACTTACTATATAATATATATATAACATCATATATATACTATATAATATAAATATATAATATATACTATATAATATAATATATAATTATAATATATAATATACTGCAATATATAATACTATAGACTATGTAAAGACTATAACATATATACTATATAATATACCATATTATATAATATATACTACATAATATAAAAAGAAATCCGAATGAAAATGAGTGTCTACAAATATAATATTTTTTTAATTTTGATAAAAGAAAATCTTATCCAGATTACTTTAAAAATAATATTTTGAAATAAATTTCACTTACAGTCGATTACAATTTTCTTTTAACTTTATATTAATAGATGTTATTTTAAATTCCCATATTTATCATACAGATAAACTCCAGTGAGAAAGTCTTGGTCTTCAGTAATATTTTAACTTTTATTTATCAACTAGAGCGAAGACGAAGTCCACTAAGTTTAAGTCAAGTACTCCGATTCATTTTAAATTTCCAATACGTCTCCTTGTGCTATAACCCACGAGCTTCAAATATTTATCCAACTGTTCTCCAATACAACGCATGTTTATTGAAGTTTCTTTGGAAGTTTATAATTAATCTACAAAAAGCCCTCTTTTGATCAATTTTCAATATGAGTTATTAATATATTGGTGGTCGGATATCTCTACTCTAGACAATGGCTGACCGCCATTGAGACCACCCAAAAAATATTAAAAAATAATATATATTAAATTGTTAAATTTAACCTCTTAAAAATATTTATAATAAATTATTAAATTTGGTTATTTCTTAAAATATGTATATTATTTTAATATTTAAAAACTATATAAATGAAAATGAAAATGAACATTCTCAGTTGTCGGCTTCTTACAAGAGTTAAGTCGTCTCACCTTATAAGAGTTTCGTAAATGAATACTAACTTCATTAAATTCCAATGCTGTATGTATAGTCAATTTATTGAAGTTTCTTAGAAAGTTTATAATTAATGAATAAAAATTAAGATGAATTCTAATTATGAAAGTAAAACAAAATTTAAAAAAAGAACTATAATATTAAAACATGTTAATTTCATTAACTACTTATCTCTCTTAAAATCATTAGCACCGGAGTTGCACACTTTGTTTAAGATGGACAAGTGTTAATCATGAAATTCAAATATTTTTATTAATTATTTATTTTATTAAATGTATCTACTTTAAAATTGTATTTGTATATACCTTGTATAAAAATTATATTATTAATATATATATATTCACCTTAAAAATATTTTGGATCCAACACTGATCAATAGAATGCATAAACTTACAATTAAATAATGAAATGGGATCTTTCCCTGAAGGTCTCAGGATCGATCATCTTAAAAGTTATGTATTGTATATGCTATTAATTTAGCAAAAAGTAACATGTCAAACCAACAACCAGATGGTCTAGCGAGAGTAGACACTATACCCCTTAAGCAAATTGGGTTGGGAGGGTCGTCTTTGCTAATTATAATGCACAAAAAATACAAGTAATTGTGATAATTTATTCACTAATATAATAGTGCCGGAGTTATTGCTAATAGTATTGAACATTTGGCTAGTAAAAAATACTTAGTTGTGACAATATTGATGGTCACAAAATATATTTTTAATTTAAAAAATCGTCACAATTTATATTGATAATTGTGTCACAAAAAATGAACAATTGTGACAAGTTTTAGAATGATTGTCGTAAAAGTGACGACTTGAAATTTTTATCACTATGCATCTTAGTGTCTAAATTTAGGACTTTTAGTGACCATTTGCATTGTCACTAAAAGTGTATTTTCTTGTAGTGAGAAGGCCAGTGGGGCATGACTCCCCCAAAATTTTAAATAGTATAATGTAGACCCTTAAAATAAAAAATAATAATTTGATTCCCCAAAACTTTTAGAAATTCATATTAAACTTTAAATTTTTTTCAATGTTCTTAATTTAAGCCCATTCCATAATTTTAAAAAATTCTTATTAAATCTTTCAAAATTTTAAAAATTTTAATTAGACCCTAGTTTATTTATAAAAATATAAACTAAACTCTTCAAATTTTTAAATTTTTTTAATTTAAACCACTTACTTTTTAAAAAAAAAATAAGTTGGTCATCCTAAATTTTATCATCTTCTACCACTGTTTGGGAAGTAAAGATTCATCATATTAAACGTGACCTTAATAAAATTACAGACTTTTTAACGGCTTTAAGTCGAAATAAATCAAATAAAAAAAACTCTTCTTGACTGATTCCTAGAATATCACTTTTATATTTAAATGTAAAGCTTTAAACCTTTAATCTACTAAATATTGCTGAAAAAGACATTCATCTGGCGACTCTTTATTCATCAGACTATTCGACGAGTGAGAAAATCTTGATCTTCGGGCCTTTGGTTGTGGAAATTTGGACTTTTATTTATTAGACAAATCAACTCGGCTAATAATATTATTCCACGAATAATGTCCTTTTTCCACGAACCGCAGGTTCGAGAGATGTAGACTGTCTGTAATTATTCGTGACTAAACTTGATATAACAATATTCTCAGTTGTTTCTTACAAGAAGACAAGTCTGCTCACCTATAAGAATTACGTACTTACGTTAACGCTTTTACGAAATGAATGAATATAGAAGTTCATTAAATTCCAATACGTTGATGGTAACATCTCCTCGTATTATAATCCACAAGCTTCAAATCTTTAACTTTTCTCAAATACAACGCATGCATGTATAGTCAATTTATTGAAGTTATTTTTGGAAGTTTATAAATAAAAACTACGACGAATTTTAATTATGAATTGTTATTTAATATATTATGGTGGTCGGTGACGAATTCAGAAATATTTTTAGGATAGATATACAAATATTAACAATATAAATTTTTTTGAATGGGGTAGAACAAATAAAATTTCTAGATGAACAATATCGTTAAAATAAATAACTAACCGAAAAAAATTTCAAATTTTAGTGTAGACACATACTCACTTTCAACGACATGCGACTCCACCACCAGCGGTGGTATATCTTTATTCTAGAGTAGAATAAAAAGTTATTTTAATGTTTTGATTATTTTTTACCTTTAAATATTAGTTGAAATATATCATACATGACCATTTTTAAAGTTTTTTTTTTAAAATTAATAATAATAGATAATTTTATAAAATAAAGATAAAATATAACTAAAAATTATAAAACTAGAGACTAATTTCATTAACAAATTTTTTTTTGAAGAGCGCACAAACTAATTACTAAAGAGTAAAATAGGATCCTACAATGGAATTAAAAATTAATCAAACAATTAAAAGAAAATGATAGACATAAAGAAAAAAATTATTGATGATAGAAGATAAACATTATTAACACTAATATTAAAATACATATTAAAATAATGACATATTGATAAACTTATTTTATTAAAACTTAATCACTCAATCATGATATACCTTTGGTGAGTGTGAGTTCATATCCATAAAATATAATTAACGTGGGTTTAAAACAATGATAAATCAATAAAATGATGTAATGAATGTCTATTAAAAGATGAGCATCAAATCAGACCTTGAAAAGAAAAAATGTGGTATAAGAGAAAAAAATTCATAATTTTGATTAGAAATTAAAAATATTTATTAAAATAAATAATATAAAAAGTTAAATATAAAAAACATTAAATAGATTAAAAAAAGAGAAAATAAAATGAAATGTGATAAGGTATGGGTGATAGTAGCTTCACTAAAGGTTGACGATACAATCCTCTTAGTCAATAAAAAAATTAAAAGAAAAATAAAAAAAATCTAGAGATGCGAGGACTAAATTCATCTAATTTCATTTATGGAATTAAAATTTAAAACTCCATCACTAATATAATAAATATTTACTTTTTAATATAATATATAAATTAGATTTATATTTAATATTTTGATAAGATGTAATTCTATATCGATAATATTATATTAGTAAAAAAATTATATAGATTCTTTTTTTAATAATATATATCATCTTTTAATTTACAGAAAAAATATTAATCTAATATAAATTAATGCACCAACAAATAGAATTAACGTGATTTGACGGCTTGTAAACTTTCATACACATAAACCTAAATTACTTTTTAATTTTCTTTTACGCTAATTATTACAACTGAACCTCTATCTATATATATATGGACACTACAGTAGTTATGAATCATACCGTTTCGTTTTTGTGAATTTCAAAGTAAAAAATGGAGAATAAGCTTTATAATGCATGTTTGGAAGGCAACAAGAGTGAGTTGTTGAATTTGCTTCAAGAGGATGCACTTCTTCTTGACAGATTCATCACTGGACGTTACCCTGAAACCCCTCTACACGTTGCTTCCATGCTCGGCCATCTCGAATTCGTCGATGAAATTCTTACTCGTAAGCCTGAGCTAGCCAAAGAAGTTGATTCTCGAAACTCATCGCCGCTTCACTTAGCTTCGGCAAAAGGGTACCTGCAAATTGTGAAAAGGTTACTGCAGGTTGATCCTGATATGTGTCTTGTTAGTGACATTGATGGGAGGAACCCTCTTCATACTGCTGCCATGAAAGGTCACTTTGATGTGTTGAAAGAGTTGGTCCAAGCCAGACCCTGGGCAGCTCGTGTGTTGATGGACCAAAGTGAGACCATTTTACATGCGTGCGTGAGGTGCAACCAGTTGGAAGCGTTGACGTTGCTCGTGGAAAGAGTTTCGGATCATGAGTTCTTGAATTGTAAGAATCATGACGGTAACACTATCTTGCATCTGGCGATAGCTGCTAAACAAACAAAGGTTTGTAATTTTAATTCAAGTGAATTAAATTAGTTTTTCGAATTTAGACTACAATTAATCCGTCTAACTTTAATTGATATAAACATACGCAGATCATAAACTTGTTGATTTCTAGCACAACGATAGACGTAAATTGTGTGAATGAAGATGGCTTCACTGCACTTGATCTTTTATCACGAAACCAACGAGACGCGATTGATAAAGAGATTGTGGAATCACTTAGAAGGATGGGAGCTACACATGGACAAGACAAACCTCTGTCAAATTCTCAACTCAAGGCAATAAGGACCAAAATCTTGTCGTCCACATGGGATCAGCCAAACGCAGCATCAAAATCAAAGAAGAGAAAAGATGGAAAGAGGTCAGTTAAAAATAAGAATGGTGATTGGCTAGAAAGAAAACGCAACACCTTAATGCTGGTGGCTTCCCTGCTCGCCGCCATGGCATTCCAAGCGGGCATCAACCCTCCCAGTGGCGTTTGGCAAGATAATGGCCCCAGTGGTTTTTCATCGACAGAATCAAACGGTAAAAATCACACGGCGGGGTTTTCTGTATTGGCAGATAATCATCAACGAGTATATACGTTATTCATCGCATGGAATACAACGGGTTTCTTGGCGTCTCTCAGCATCATCCTGATGCTTATAAGTGGATTGCCGTTGCGGCGTCGGTTCTTTATGTGGGTTTTAATGGTCATCATGTGGGTTGCCATTACTGCAATGGCATTAACATATCTAGAATGTCTCGTAGCATTAACACCTGATCATCAAAACTCTTTGCTGATCACTATATTAGGAATTGCTGTGCTGGTTTGGATCGGCTTGATGCTCATACTCCTCCTCGGACACATGATTCGAGTCCTATTCAGATTGATCAAGTATCTGAGAAAATCTGTGATGAGATTGATGAGATTGATGAATCCAATCGCCACACGCCCTGCTTTAGTTTAATGCGTACAATTGAGTCGTGTGAGAAGTGAGAACACTTGAACTATAGCAATGGTTGTAAAATATAATGTCTAAGCTTAAAGCCTTAAAGGCAGGGTTTATGAATGGAAAAAGTTGTGTGTTTTATTGTATCTCAGAAATCATTTTTAGTTTAAGATAATTCGTCAGTAAGCTGTTTTATTGATCTCCGTATGCATTACAGTGGACACTTTTTTGTATCTTGTTACAATGATACCTATTGGAACTAATCATAATTCTGCATCCAAAACAACCGAGACAACAACATCCAAGGAATATGGCTCACGGCTTACCGTCGTCACTGCAACGAACGGTTCGTATTCTGGGAAAAGACCTTTCAAGATCATAGCTATCTGTCCAGCTTCAGAAACTGGATTTCCACATGATGCTAGGAGATCACAAATCTTCTTCTTCATCTGTGTGGTATACTCTCCTATTGAGAGAGTTTCTTTCTTCAGAGAGCTTAACCGATAGTGAAGATCCATAAACTTTGTGGTAGAGTGTTTCGAATACATATAACCTGCAGGTGTTGCACTCCAAATAGTTGCTGAAGTTTATGCTCCAACGAGTTGAGAAGGATGTCTAGACTATTAGTGGCTAAAAGCCACAAGCAAACTATCTTTCTTCACCGCACGAAGATAGGTCGGGTTTGTTGAATTTGAATCTATAAGTAAAGAAAAAAAAAAGCAGCAACATCACAAGGAAATGTTGGAGAGAAAACAAATACTTTTAGGTATTATAAAAGAAGGATAAATTCAAAGATAAAATTATAATTCTCTAGACTTGGTAATAATTGATAACCACCCCATCCTCCCTAGTGAATCTTGAACTCGATTTGTCATTCGTCTTTTGGTGTCAGTTTCTTCGACCATTGTTTACCTTACATTTACCTCTTACAAGATGAATGGTTGAAGGCAGATTGTTGGTTGTTGCCTGCAAAGCTGCCTTCTTCTTTTCTTGTTGAGTCATTTTTTTGTTCATGAACTGACATAGATCCCTGTAATTCACCAATAGAAAGAACATCAAGATCTTTGGACTCCTCAATCGACCATACCACTTAATTACGTTTTGACGTCATCGATGGAAGTATCTTTTCAATCAATGTCACGTTGTTTACCATGAACTCACATTTTGTTGATAGTGACCATTGTTCTGGAGAAAAAAATTCAGATACGGACTCTCCGGATTTCATGAGAAGCATTTTAAATTTTGTACGAAGCAATTGTCTTTTGGCTTGGAATTTCTTCTTCATGAAATATCATATTTGTTTCGAAGTTTCTTTACTAAGAATAGTTTCTAAGATGTAACGATTAATGTCTTGAAAAAGATAATTCTTCGATTTAAGATCTTTCAATCCTTCTAACTCAGCTTTTTGAGTCTTTGATAACGTAACCGCTTTTGATACGTTATGCTACTCCAAAATTAACGACTTGTCAATATTCTTTGGACCTCAAGAAATTCTCCATCAACATATTCCAATGATCATCAGGGCCGGCCCTGAGCATAGGCCAGGGGTGCGACCGCCTAGGGCCCCAAGCTTGGAGAGACCCATTTTTAAAAATATTTTTAAGTTTAATAATTAAAAAATATTTTTAAACATATTTTTTTATTTCAAACACTCGAAAATATGATAATTCAGTGGGCCCCAATGATTAAAAAATATTTTTAAACATCATTTTTTATTAAAAAACTCTAAAACATGATGATCCAATGGGTCTCATTTTAATGATTGGAAACATCATTTTTTATTAAAAAAACTCGAAAACATGATGATCCAATGGGTCTCATTTTAATGATTGGAAGGGAAACTAAGTGTGAGCCTCCACTTGTCTTCTTGTCATCACCTCCTGGCCGAGGACCCTTAAAATATCAGGACCGGGCATGATGATCATAATGACCATCAAACCGAGAAAGGGCAGGTTGTACAAATTGTGATGTGGCCTCAAATGATATATTTTTGAAACTGGCTCGAATACAAAATGTTGAATTTGAATCTATAAGTAAAAAAAACATAAAGAAATGTCGAAGAGAAAAACAAATACTTTGTAGGCGTTATAGAAGGAAAAGGCACATCTTATTTAATCATATTTAGCCCCTTTATAAGATAAATTCAAGGTTGAAAATAGCACATAACAACCGGAACAATTAAATTTCTAGTTGAATAAACAAACCAACAGAAAAATTACACGAACAACTAAATAGAAAAACTTCTGGTGAATCTAAGATTTAGTCAATAGAGTTCACAACAGTTAGTGTTAAATTGCGGCTGCAACGTAATTTAACAGGTATTCCGTAATGTTTTTCAAGGTCACTGTGGCATCGCAAACCGTTAGTGTTAATTTGATGTTTTAAGAGCTTTTTTGTTCTGCTGCTGAAGTTGGCATTATTTATTTGGATGAACCCACGGCTTTGAATTCAATGATAGAAACTACTCAAATAGACAATTGAACTAAACCAAAATGAATGGGTCAAATCCATTTATTAGTACATGCACTGTAATGAAGTAATGGATTTAGTTTATGTATTATAATTTAATCATTTTTAGTTTTTGTATATTTTAAATTTTAAAATTTGAATTCTTATCTCAACCGTAGAAGTAAAACATGTTAAATTAAATTATATAATTAGTTTATGTATTATGCTTTACTCGTAGATTTATTTTCAGTCATCAATTTCTCTCTTTCTTTTAACATTTCTTAATAAGGTCTTCAATACAATCCCATGATAGCATATTTCATATTATTTATGTAATAAAATTTAAGATAAAGTATATAAATAACTCTCCGACTATACTATGTTTCATTTGAGTTTATTTATTATTAAAAATTACAAAATAATTCTTCGACTATAGATTATTATTTTGTCAAGTCTCTTAATTATTAAAAGTTACAAAGTTTTCACCTGATCATTCATATATTCTAAACTCGTTCTTTTCTATTAAAAATTGATGATCATCTGAGCTAGATGATAGATTTTAAAATATAAGAAAATTTTAGTTTTTATAAAGTGGGGGATGAAATCTATTATACCAACCCAACCATAGAGCTTGTATATGAAAGTGAACTGAAAGGCAGAGCAACAACCCATTGGAAGGAATGAGTTGGATTTTAAATCCAAAATGAACAAAATCTATGCCGTCTAGACCTCTCTATTCTTCAAATACCAGATGGGGATTATCCACTTGAAGACAATATAAAGCTTGAATCGAAACTACATGATCTCAATTTCACAGGTGTGGACAATCAGCCTCACTACTGAAAAATGAACCCTACATGTGGAAAAATGAAAGAAGCTGAAAACTTATAATCTGAATTGAACTGTGATATCATATATGATACAAATCCTCTAAAAGGATTGTTGATCTATCTGACTAACTACCAACTGTGTGGCGGCCTACTCCGGGTCAAATTCGAAGCCACCCACACAACAATTAGGAGGATTTATTCAACTGTAGACTGCTGGGTACGAATCTGACATGACTACAATGTTTTAACTTGGACAGAGCATCTTGCGACTTACCCAGCATGAGATCGACATAAATTGCGGTCATAGTGGCTTCGCTGCTGTTTGGAACTAGGGACAACGCTCGCTTCACAAAATGGAGAGCCAGGTCAAGTTCACCTCGTATTGCAGACGCAGCGGCAAGATTTGCGTAAAGCGTTCCACGAGCCTCTTCTGGCTTCAGAAACATGTATTCCTGCAAACCCTCATGAGAAGGATTATTGGCAGCTGCTCCTCCACTAGGTTCATCACAATCGACACGTTTTTCCACTTGCCACTGCTCACGGTCCTCTTGACTAAACGGCAATTCAACATTATTGCCCCCAGACAAATAAATGGCCAAATGCTCTGCAGCTTCCTTAGGTTTGTTCAGTAAACATAGTGCCTCTGCCGCATAGACGTGACCTAGAAAAATGTAAATTCTTGAACAACCTGGTAGTTCTAACAGCGATAGCGCAGCAGAGAGGGCCTTCAAAGGATTATCCAGTTCTAACTCTACATATGCTAGGTTAGCAAGAAGAGTTTGCTTAATCATCTGATTTTCTCTTCTGTGGATGTCTTCATAATAGGAGACAGAGTTCTGAAGAACCTCGTGATTAGCTCCTCCCTTTGTCTCTTTCAAATCTCCATTTGAGTTAACTAGACCAGCTAACATGGTTGAAGCCAAGGAATTGATACCGGGTAACTTCTTATGGATTGGGTTCTTGGAAGATGGTCCATCACTCGTTTCTCTCTCCTCCAAGGATGAATTGGAGGGTAAAACAGATTTAGAATTACTCCACTCAGAACAGTTCAGCAAGTGTAGCGCGTTATAGAGACATTGCCTAGCAAGGGGTAATGAAAGCTTAGGCTGCCCATCACTGCCTAAAGCCCAATCATTCTTTTCAACAGAATCTACATGTCCACTTCTTGAAGTCCCATAGTCAATCAGAAGTTTCCTCCACCTACCCTTGCCAATAACATTGACTCTAATTTCTGATCTGTCTGATGGAGTTTGCCTTTCTTTTACAAGCCCTTTCGCTACAGCCATTATACAACATTCGGCGAGCCGAAGCCACAAGAGGGGTCTTCTGTAGAAAATTAAGCATGCCTTCTGTAAACAACGAGCGGCAAGTATTGGTTTCCCACATGCCAAGTACTGCAACCCACAGTTATATGTTATGAGGAGAGATTTATCCTGTGAGAGTGTTAATAGCTTTAAAGGCTTCTCCTTTTGAAGAGATGAACAAATACCGAGTGCCTTGGAAAAGAAAACTGCAGACGAATGATACTTCCCAAGTTTATAGTAAATGCAGCCTAGATTGTTGTTAAACATGCTTGAAATTGCTGCATCTGTCCGATTACTTGACGCCATCAACAACTTGATGGCTTTTCGATGGTTTCCACGAGTATACTCAAGCTGAGCCTTCAAGAGCAGAGCCATAGATGAATCTCTACCACGAGCAATGTTCATAGCATGCTTGACTTCACGCTTTGCTAGCTTTAGATTTCTAGTTAGCAGTAAAACCCGAACCTTGTGAAGTTGCAACCTGAGTTTCAAATCAACACCAGAGATAGATCCATCAACTGTGATCCGGGGATGATCATTTACAGATGTAAGACCCGCAGGCCG